AACAGTGTCACTGCTTTGAGGTAAAGACAGGAGTTAGACAAGGATGCAACATGTCAGCAATTCTGTTCAACCTGGCCATTGACTGGGTCATGAGGAAAACAACAGAGGATACATCAAGAGGCATAAGGTGGACCCTCTTCTCCACCCTCGAGGATCTTGACTTGGCCGACGACCTTGCACACTCTCCCATACCAACCAGCACATGCAGGAAAAAACAAACCGACTCCACAAATACGGAACCAGATTGGGTTAAGAATAAGCCAGAAGAAGACAGAAGTGATGACACTAAATGTAGGCTCCCCAACGTTAATTAGGGTGAACAACACAGACCTGCCTATAACAGACACATTTACCTACCTAGGCAGCATAATCAAAACTGACGGCGGCACAAAGGAAGACATCATGAACAGACTCGACAAGGCAAGATCTATACACAGAAGCATGATCAACATCTGGAAGACAGGACAGTTTAGTATACAAACCAAGTTAAAGCTGTATAACAGCTGTGTACTATCCACACTCCTATATGGAGCTGAATGCTGGAGGATGACTGATCATGACCATGCCAAGCTATCTTCCTTTCATACAACCAGCTTACGCCAAATACACAGAATCTTCTGGCCCGACAAGATTTCCAACGCAGATCTGTTACAAAAATGTAGGCAAGAGGACATGACCACCATAATAAAAAGGAGAAGATGGAGATGGATTGGGCATGTTCTGAGAAGAGAACCAGACTCTATTGTGAAGACTGCTCTCCACTGGACACCCGAATGACGTCGCAAAAGGGGCAGACCCAAAGTGACCTGGAGACGCCCAGTAGAGTCGGAAATGAAGTCCTGGAACTGGAATCGTTCGTGGGGAACGCTGACCAAGATGGCCCACAACAGACAGAGCTGGAGATATTTGGTTGCTGCCCTAAACGCCTGATGGCGTAATGGGTTGTAAATAAGTAAGTAAGAGAGCAGGAAAGGAGGAGAAAGGAGACAATTTTCTAGAGAAAAAAATTCCATTGCACGAGAGCCCCCTGGAATTGTATGTCCATTTTTAATACACCATTATTAACTGATTCTGAGAATTAATCTGCACGGGACAGCGTCGTGTCATTGGTACGGTATCAGTTATTTCTTCGGACTATCTTCTTAGTTGTATTTAGATCCCAAATTTTTAACGAGAAAGAGAGAGAGAGAGAGAGAGAGAGAGAGAGAGAGAGAGAGAGAGAGTGAGTGTGTATGTGTGTGTGTGTGTGTGTGTGTGTGTGTGTGTGTGTGTGTGTGTGTGTTTTGTATGTGTGTAGTGAGGGATAGCGAAGATGTAAGTATACAACAGCGAGTGTGTGGTTGTTTTTGTGGGGTTTTATTTTGGGGTGGTGGAGGGAGGGGGGAAGGTGTTAGGGATAAAGGGGATTTATCTATCTATCTATCCATCTATTCATCCAACCACCTTCCATCCATTTCAATAAAGAGACCCGGAAACCAGTGCATGTGCAAGTGGACATTTATTTACCATGCAGAAGCAAATTTCTCTTTGTGGAGACCAATTTATCTTTTCTTATCTCAGCCAAGCTTTGGCTCACAGACCCTGTGTTGGCCCGTGAGGTTTTCTTCGGCCCCAGTACACCCTACCAGTACAGACTACAGGGACCGTGCAAGTGGTCAGGTGCAAGAGAAACCATTCTGACACAGGTCAGTCCTTAGACAGATAACTTCAATTATCAACCGGACTTGTTTTACTGTAGGCCTATAATTTGGTCCCTTTAGGACACATTGTCCTAGCTGATAGATGAAGAGTTTCGATAATATTAACATCCCTGTATGAAAATCAAACTCGACATCTTCTGCATACAAGGTGACGGCCTGACCACTACACCACTGACACTTTTTTTTCTTTTTCGGTAAGTGTTTTACATCGCTCGCAACTGCATAAGGTCATATTAGCGCGTCGGACCTAATATTTTCAGTTGGTAGGAAATGTTGAATTTTGCCCGGGTGGCGGCCGAAGCCTACTCTTATCGATTTTAGACCTCCAGGGGATCTTTAACGTGCGCAACTTGCACACGGGTTCTCCGAGATGTTTCGCCCTTGTCCTAGAAGGCTAGGTGTAGATCAGGGGTGTGTTAGAAAGACAGCAGTAAGAAGGAGCCCACTGACACTGGTACCGTATGAGTGAAACAAAGGAACAACCAAGTGTATATTATACCCATAGTGTTAGGCTCTTATCTTATAACTGGTGTTTGAAAACTATTTCAACGGAAAAATAAAATCTGGCCTCATTATTGATTTAGATTATGAGAGACATAATGAAAATTATACCATATTGGGTTTATACTATAATTATGTAGACTCGTGACTTTTATTGAGGATCCGCAGGTTGGCTCAAAGTTCTACCGGAAACCGGAAATTCGAAAGTCCCACAAGGGGCGCAAAACTTATACAATTTCATTTTCCCTCTAGAACAAAAATGAGCCTAACATCACTGCTATCTTTCTTTGTTCTAGATGGATCGAGTGAGGCAGCCACTACAGACCCGCCCCCTCCCCAGGAAGGCCGGAGACCAGTCCATCAGCTTCATCTATATCCTCATCGCTGTGATACTCCCTGCCTTGCTGTACTTTTTTAGATTCATCTGAGGATTCGCGCAACTAAACAAGGAAGAAAATAGGCGCACTCCGGAGTGCCAGAATTAAATTATTGTTCTTCTTGAATTGCAGGATGTGCCGTGTAACAGAAAATCTTGATTAGCGCAACTTTACGGGTGGCTTTATCTGCATGAGTCCGCGCGTGAATTGGCACACACTCTTGGGGACGAATTCCCAATGGTTAATGTCTGATTTTGTGTTACTTACCTACATTTTATATATGATTTGATTTGTACTATCGGGTACACAGACATAGTAATATATATACGGAGATAATTGTCCCAACACACTATATATTTCGCCCATTATGCCTAATGAAAATGAATGCAGTAGCGGAGTGTTGTCTTTGTTTGTTGTTTGGAGGTTG